ATTTGAAGGGTAAGTATAAAGGCATCTTATTTGTAGTAGCGACAAAGGACGGAAATGAACAAATTTTTCCGTTGGCATTTGGTATTGGCGATATAGAATGTCATAGTTCTTGGATGTGGTTTTTCGAAAAAATTCGCTCCACATTTAGATGTCCGGAAAATTTGGTGGTTGTTTCTGATCGACACACGGGCATAAAGTCGGCTATGGAAGTTGTTTACCCTGATGTCGTACATGCCGTATGTTCGTACCACATACGACAGAATATTCGAAGTCACGGTGTTAAAGCAGTTGGTTTATATATGAAAGCTGCATATACTTATTCCCCTATTGTGTTTCAAAAGTCGATAGCTGAGCTTGCGGAAAAACATCAGGAACCATGGAAGGAGTTGATTGGAGCCAATCCAGCTAGGTGGGCACGAAGTCAATGTCCTGTGAGACGATATAGTTTCATGACCTCAAATGCTTGTGAGGTTCTGAACAATAGGCTTCGTTGGGCAAGAAAATTGCCGGTTTGCTCTATGTTTGAATGTATTCGAAACATCATGCAAAAGTGGTTCTACGAAAGACGCGTCGAGGCAGAAAAAACAGATTGTGAAGTTACTCCATCAATATCTAAGCGTTTGGTGGATTATAAATATGAAGCCGACAAAATGGAAGCTTCAAATATCAATCACCATGTTTACCACGTGAAAGACGGGGTCAAGAATTTTTTCGTCAATTTGAATGATCGGACTTGCACTTGTTTTCTCTTTCAGGTTGATTTAATGCCTTTTGCACATGCTATAAAGGCTATCGGGTAATTATTTAATTTAATTTAATAAAATATTTAATTTTTTGACTTTTGTTGTTTATTGTACCCCATAATAAAATGTTATATGTATGTACCATTTTTATGAAGGCAAATGAATCGGTATATGGATATGTGCACGATTACTATAAGACGACAACGTTGCGCAAACTTTACGAGCCGATGATCATGCCAGTTGCGCATCCAACCACATGGGACTTAACTACAGCACCTAATTTAATGGTTGTCAAATCCCCTGTTAATCCCAAGCAAGCCGGAAGGCCGAGGTCGAACCGCATACCTTCTACTGGCCCTTCTTCCAACTCTCGAAGTTCAGCATTTTGTTCACGATGCCGTGAAAAGGGCCATTACTCTACAACTTGTGTTGAATTTGTCCAAAATGTTGAACAATCTAATCAATCTAGGCGACCCGGTATTGGAATTCGTTTGTGTGGTAAATGTAGGCAACCCGACCATCGTAGGAACAAATGTCCTCAAAACATTGACTAGTTCATTTTCTGGTTGTATTAACTATTGTGTCCATATTGTAACNGTTATCATTTGCACTCATTTGCTTTTGATTGCTTTCATAGTGGCTTAATATGTCATTGTACTGGATGTTGATACATGAACCTTTTAGAAGTTTTTGGACACTAGATTGTATTAAAACATCGGTTTTCTCCGTCATATAATTTGATCTTTATTTTCAACAGGCATTCGACTTTGTCTCGAAGGATGTAAACATAATCGTGTGGCCATACTGTAACAATTTGATTTTGTGTTGTGTAATTTGTATTAATTTCATGAATTGCGCCGGTAGAAATCTCCCTTTCCGGATGTCTGGGTCCATCGGCGGACGGCCTTTGGTCACTCGTCCATGGCGAGGCATCTCTCTTCTCTATTGTTGATCCTCTTCGTGCTTCGAATTTTGGCCAATGGTGAAGGTTCTCCTTCCTTGTTGGTTGCCGGAGTATAGGTTCGGTCGGCAATGGTTGGGGTGTGGTGCTGGTTCATGGACGAGGTTGGGATAGCTGCAATCAGATTTTGCCGGGCCGGTGGGTCGCTGATTCTCCTCTGTTCGCCTTCTCGTCGCCGGTCTGGACTGCGCCTTTTCGCCGGCGAAGCGGCGATTGGCTGTGGCCGCCCCTTGTTTCGACAGTCGTATGTCAATTGGAGGTATGCCCACGATTTTGATGCTTTTGTCTCGGTTTTCTATTGTGTCTGTGATTGGCGGGACCTCTTGGTTCCTTCTTTGCGAGTGGCATATGGGAGTCCACGGTTGGTGGTCGTAGTTCTGCTGGGATTGCTTTTTCCGATTAGAGCTAGGCTGCTTGGTCGTGTTTCAGTTGCTTCGGGCTGGGTTGAGTCGTGTTTGCCTCTTCTCGTGATTGAAGTGCGGGACTGCTCTTCAGTTGGTCCTGGGGTGCGGGTTGCCGTCTTGCTAAGCCTTCTGCAGTGGTGGACGGTTATTTCCGTGCTTTAGAGCTATCAGTGGAGTTGGTTTGTCTGCCGTATACTTAGTCGTATCTGGTGGGGGAGGATGTGGCCTCTTTCTTGTTTTTTGTTTCTAGTTTTAGTGGGTCTGTGTTTTTCTTATTGTTATTATTCTGTTTGTGTGTTTTTGGTCTGGACCGTTGGCCTCTGTGAGCCCGAGTGTCACCTTATTATCCTGTTGTGATCCGACACTCGGGTATTACTCTGTTGGGGTCTTTTTAGTTGTTTTGGTTTTAGTTTGTTTTTTGTCGTTGTGTAGTTGGTTAGTTGCGAGTGTTTTTTTCTAGCGTTGCTAGTCGGGTTTCTAAGCGGTCTTCTGACCTATCCTCCCACTTTTTCAGATGTTGGCTGCTGTGTATTCAGCCGTTGGCTGCTATGTATTCACACATTTGTGCATNACTTTGTATCGAAGGATGTAAACATAATCGTGTGGCCATACTATAACAATTTGATTTTGTGTTGTGTAATTTGTATTAATTTCATGAATCTTAATTTAGTTGTTTTGTGAAAAAAAAACTGAAAAAATCCAAGTCCCCTTTTTCTGCTCAAGAAAACTGTTTATTGCTCAATTTTTGTTTTCCTGCTCAGGAAACATGTTTCCCTGCTCAAGAAACATGTTTCCTATCTCCAGTTGGAAACCTGTTTCCTGCTCAAGAAACTTGTTTCTTGCTCAAAAAATCATGTTGCTCAAAAAATCTTGCTCCAAAAACCTGTTGCTCAAAAAATCCACAGTACTCAATCCACAAATCCACAAATGAATCCACAATACTCAATCCACAAATCCTGTTGCTCAATAAATCCTGCTCAAGAAACCTGTTGCTCAAATGAATCCACAAATCCAACCCACAAATTCAACAATATTCAACAAATTCAACAATATTTAAGCATGCGTTCTACAACCTTCCCAACTACAATGCCTACACAAAACAACTTAGTCAAAGTACAATGCAAACTTGCTACCAGATTTCAATAAACAGTCAAGAAGGATGATTTGTTAGGATAAGTGCTGCCATCCGTGCTCTGAAGCAATCGATTGAACAATTACGTTGGGCCTTCCGATATTCTAGATTATCCACGACGTAACTATCCATTTCCAAGCACACGTGGACACCACAGTCCTATACCCCCCTCTGCGCCCTTCGTACTCCATAAAAAAAATGCTTGGTTGGATGAATGTCGAAGTCAGCTTTCCAATTCAAATATCCGGCGAGGAACTTGGCCTACCAACAAAACACATGACTAGTTAATTCGAAAAAGATAATAATAATAAATACAAAATAAAGTTTAATATGTCAATAACACTTACCACTGTTTTCCCAAGTCCTTGGTATTGGGGACCATCCAACGAGTTATGATACAGAAATTTCTTTTCTTTAACGTTTAAGACGAGCAAGAAAAAGTGAAACTTCACAAGAATGGGGAAAAACACAAACTTGGCAGCAGAGATGTCCCCAATGACCTCACTAGCAGGGCAACAGTACTTCTTGCTAGCGTAGAAGTACACACCTCATAGTCTTTCAAGTACCATTTTTTTCTTTTATTCATATTTTGCACGGCATTCAAAACATCCATCTACAAAATAAATCATATTTTTTGAGGAAATTAATAATAGTAAAAATAATAGACTTTATTAAGATAAAGTACCTGAACGTAGACAGGCGAAAAGCGGACATGTGGATGGCGAGCGTGCAAGATCATCATAAAGCAATCGATGAGTTCAGAACTCAACTCGTTCCCGAACAACAGAGCAATCATTGACTTTCCTCGGAGTTCCACTCGATCGTTGCTCCATACAATTTTGGTACTAAAATTTGCAAGTCTAATTAGTATAGTATAACAAAAATGAAACACTTAAGAAACTGAGATAATTTCTGTTACCTCATGCGATCGCTGGTCAGGAATGATCGGATGGCTGCACGAACGTCTTCCGGCACTGACTCGTGGCCACAAAAGTCTTCTCTTCCTATAAAGTCATTCAGAGAAGACTCCTCAGCATCATTGTCCTACATTACAAAATAATAATTGGTTAGTTATATGAAAACAAGTCGAAAAATCATCTAATCTTTACATATATAAATTGATAGTTTAATTACGACATCACTATTTACGTGAACCAACTGCACTTTTTTCTCTCTCTTCCGTCTCTTCGGACCGGATGACGGGGGAGTCATAAAATCGGCCGACTTTTCCTTCTTCTTCCTCCCCCGCACCCTCTTCACCATGGAGGAAGCCTGTTGCTTCTCCATTGGTGGTCGTTTTTTCTCCTTTCCTTGACAATCCCTTTTTTTCTCCTCCTCTTCTTTATCAGCCTCCTTCTCTTCTTCCTCCCCCTCATCATTCTTTTCCTCTTCCTCCTGTTTCTCCTCTTCTTTCTCAGCCGCGTTCTCCTTCTCTTCTTCCTCCTCCTCATCCTTATTTTCCTCTTCCTTCTCTTCTTCCTCCTCTTATCTCTCAGCCTCGTTATCAACCACCTAATAGTTTTTGGAACCAAAAATATTAGTTTTAAGAGAAACAAATTTTATTTTCTGGAAAAATTCATAAATGTGCAAATGTCAAAAAAAGTTACCTCATTACCAAAATTTGGTACCGCCTGAGAGGACCGCTTGATTCTCCTCGAGTGGAGAAGGCCGCCTAAGAGGACTGCTTGACATCATTTAACAAAGAATAAAAAAAATATAACTTTTGAAAAATGTCAAAAGGGACACGTGAAATGCAAAGGTTAAAAAGTTACCCCATGACCAAAATTTGGAGTGGATTGACTCTCAACACCTCGAGTTTTATCCCCAACTCTCGAAATAACATAATCATCCAATCGTTTAAAATTTTCATCAAATGCCCGATTAATGGCAATGGGGACGACCTGACTTAAAGTTTGTTCCACTATCGCAGGCATCAACTCTTTCAGGCAATTTGAAACGCCTTCCTCCACCCATTGCTTGATGAGGTCTTTATCCATTCCAACCGGCTCCTTTTGAGGCTCCCTCTCCGTCTCTTTTTCAGCTCCCTCATATGCCTCTACAGTCGGCTTCTTCGAATGTCTGCTCATCAGCGGTCCAATCTTCCTTTTTTTGGTGGCAGGTCTATGACGTGAAGAATAGGAGGCATCACCTAGCGGCTTACAACAACTCTGCCACGAGTCGTGGTGGATATATTGTAACCCCATTGATAAGTCCAAATAAACATTAGCCATATACGGCGCATTCCTCTCGGCATCTGTCAGACACATTGGTCTACATTGAATCTGTTAAGAAAATGCCAAACCAAAAAAAAAATGACAGAAAAAAGAATAAGAATAATAATAATTTCACAACAAGAATTATATAGCAAAATTAATGTAGAACATATATATTTACCTCGGGATTATCAATGTCAGACAACTGAAGAAAATTTTTCTTCGGGCAAATCCACCGAGTGCCTCTCGATAGACCATGTCCGATGCACACCATTCCACCTCCTCGTACAAACTCGGGCATCATCTCACAAGCCCATATCTATTTAGAAAAAAAAAAAATCGTAAATGGTCTTTTTAAACTAAATAACAAAAAATAATGAAACAATTGTAAAATTGTATATGCACCTGAAAAGGCATTAAAAAACTATGGATGTTCAACTGAACGTCACACCCCTCATCTGGTTCACTTATACCATCGAGACAATGGTATAAACGCTGAAAGGAAAATGTGCCCCAAGGAAATTGTGCCCCAAGGAAATTTCCCGAACATGTCCAAATTTTCAACTAACATCCAGAGCCAAAGTGGAACAGCGGACCTTTGGTCGGGTGCAAAAAAAAAAAAGTGAACAATTAAGATCATGGAAACCTTCAGCACATCATCGGGAATATTCTGAAAATGACCGTTCGTGAAATCCCTCAACAGATCACCTCCTATCACACTCTCGCCGTCATAGTGGCGTCGATATACCCCCATCAATGACCGGTAAACTCTCATTCTCCTCGGGGATGAATTCCGACTCACCAAACATCAAGCCACTGATTTGGCAAAATTCGACTTTCCCGAATTTATAATTATTGCCTCCAATTCGAAACCAACGCTCCTTCTCTCGAGCGTCACGGAGAAAAACCTCTCGACCAAGTAAGGCAAGTAGTAGTCTCCCACTGTAGTACGCTTGCTCATCGAACCTCAAGAATTGTCCAAAACAAGATTGTTCGAACTCCCAAAGACGGCCACAAGCACCTCATTGACGTTTAATATAGCCTATTACTTTAGGCTTCGTCTGACAATTGATTTTGCCGCCCCAAGTGTAACCTTTACCCCATCTCCAACTCCAAGAGTCCCCCTAACAATCATGAAACAATCAATATTATTTTAATTTTTTTAAAAACACAATATTAAAAAACAGGTTAAAAACTAGTTTCTTGTTAAAAAAACAGGCTTCTTTCTTGTTAAAAACTGTTTTTTTTAACACGAAACTAGTTTTTAACCTGTTTTTTAATATTGTGTTTTTAAAAAAATTAAAATAATATTGATTGTTTCATGATTGTTAGGGGGACTCTTGGAGTTGTAGATAGGGTAAAGGTTACACTTTGGGAGGCAAAATCAATTGTCAGACGAAGCCTAAAGTAATAGGCTATATTAAGCGTCAATTAGGTGCTTGTGGCCGTCTTTGGGAGTTCGAACAATTTTGTTTTGGACAATTCTTGAGGTTCGATGAGCAAGCGTACTACAGTGGGAGACTACTACTTGCCTTACTTGGTCGAGAGGTTTTTCTCCGTGACGCTCGAGAGAAGGAGCGTTGGTTTCGAATTGTAGGCAATAATTATAAATTCGGGAAAGTCGAATTTTGCCAAATCAGTGGCTTGATGTTTGGTGAGTCGGAATTCATCCCCGAGGAGAATGAGAGTTTACCGGCCATTGATGGGGTATATCGACGCCACTATGACAGCGAGAGTGTGATATGAGGTGATCTGTGGAGGGATTTCACGAACGGTCATTTTCAGAATATTCCCGATGTTGTGTTGAAGGTTTCCACGATCTTAATTGTTCACTATTTCTTTTTTGCACCCGACCAGAGGTCCGTTGTTCCACTTTGGCTCTGTTAGTTGAAAATTTGGACATGTTCGGGAAATTTCCTTGGGGCACATTTTCCTTTCAGCGTTTATACCATTGTCTCGATTGTATAAGTGAACCAAATGAGGGGTGTGACGTTCAGTTGAACATCCATGGTTTTTTAATGCCTTTTCAGGTACATATACAATTTTACAATTGATTCATTATTTTTTGTTATTTAGTTTAAAAAGACCATTTACGATTTTTTTTTTCTAAATAGATATGGGCTTGTGAGATGATGCCCGAGTTTGTACGAGGAGGTGGAATGGTGTGCATCGGACATGGTCTACCGAGAAGGGCACTCGGTGGATTTGCCCGAAGAAAAATTTTCTTCAGTTGTCTGACATTGATAAGCCCGAGGTAAATATATATGTTCTGCATTAATTTTGCTATATAATTCTTGTTATGAAATTATTATTATTCTTATTCTTCTTTCTGTCATTTTCTTTTTTTGGTTTGGCATTTTCTTAACAGATTCAATGTAGACCAATGTGTCTGACAGATGCCGAGAGGAATGCGCCGTATATGTCTAATGTTTATTTGGACTTATCAATGGGGCTACAATATATCCATCACGACTCGTGGCAGAGTTGTTGTAAGCCGCTAGGTGATGCCTCCTCTTTTTCACGTCATAGACCTGCCACCAAAAAAAGGAAGATTGGACCGCTGATGAGCAGACATTCGAAGAAGCCGACTGTAGAGGCATATGAGGGAGTTGAAAAAGAGACGGAGAGGGAGCCGACGGAGCCGAGGGAGCCTCAAAAGGAGCCGGTTGGAATGGACAAAGACCTCATCAAGCAATGGGGTGGAGGAAGGCGTTTCAAATTGCCTGAAAGAGTTGATGCCTGCGATAGTGGAACAAACTTTAAGTCAGGTCGTCCCCGTTGCCATTAATCGGGCATTTGATGAGGTTTTTAAACGATTGGATGATTATGTTATTTCGAGAGTTGGGGATAAAACTCGAGGTGCTGAGAGTCAATCCACTCCAAATTTTGGTCATGGGGTAACTTTTTAACCTTTGCATTTCACGTGTCCCTTTTGACATTTTTCAAAAGTTAAATTTTTTTTATTCTTTGTTAAATGATGTCAAGCAGTCCTCTCAGGCGGCCTTCTCCACTCGAGGAGAATCAAGCGGTCCTCTCAAATGGTCCTCTCAGGCGGTACCAAATTTTGGTAATGAGGTAACTTTTTCGACATTTGCACATTTATGAATTTTTCCAGAAAATAAAATTTGTTTCTCCTAAAACTAATATTTTTGGTTCCAAAAACTCTTAGGTGGTTGATAACGAGGCTGAGAGAGAAGAGGAGGAAGAAGAGAAGGAAGAGGAACAGGGGAAGGAAGAGGAAAATAAGGATGAGGAGGAGGAAGAAGAGAAGGAGAACGCGGTTGAGAAAGAAGAGGAGAAAAAAGAAGAGGAGAAACAGGAGGAAGAGGAAAAGAATGATGAGGGGGAGGAAGAAGAGAAGGAGAAGGAGGCTGATAAAGAAGAGGAGGAGAAAAAAAGGGATTGTGAAGGAAAGGAGAAAAAACGACCACCAATGGAAAAGCAACAGGCTTCCTCCATGGTGAAGAGGGTGCGGGAGAGGCGGGGGAGGAAGAAGGAAAAGTCAGCCGATTTTATGACTCCCCCGTCATCCGGTCCAAAGAGACGGAAGAAAGAGAAAAAAGTACAGTTGGTTCACGTAAATAGTGATGTCGTAAGTAAACTATCAATTTATATATGTAAAGATTAGATGATTTTTCGACTTGTTTTCATATAATTAACCAATTATTATTTTGTAATGTAGGACAATGATGTTGAGGAGTCTTCTCTGAATGACTTTATAGGAAGAGAAGACTTTTGTGGCCACGAGTCAGTGCCGGAAGACGTTCGTGCAGCCATCCGATCATTCCTGACCAGCGATCGCATGAGGTAACAAAAATTATCTCAGTTTCTTAAGTGTTTCATTTTTGTTATACTATACTAATTAGACTTGCAAATTTTAGTACCAAAATTGTATGGAGCAACGATCGAGTGGAACTCCGAGGAAAGTCAATGATTGCTCTGTTGTTCGGGAACGAGTTGAGTTCCGAACTCATCGATTGCTCTGCAGATGTTTTACATCCTGAGTTTTCATTTTAGGCTCAAAAATTTCAACCTGATAGCAAGTATAATGACATTATTAACTGTCAAGTTTTAATTCTTAACTGAACAAGCTTAAAAAACAAATGTTATTAGTATGTAGGTAGATCTATTGCTATCCATGTGCTTCTGAAAAATCCTAAAAGCTTACAATATTTGCTAAAGCAGATTGATAAAATAGATATGCGTGCTTTAATAGCCTGTGACAACACAGACAAGCACATCTATCTTGATCACTACAAGCTTGTTACCATGATAGCAAGTGATTGAACAAATAAGCACGGCTGTTATGATCAACAGTTTGTCTATTTCAGGTAATCTACATGCACATCATGCAGTTGAAAGATGTTCAACAGTTTATGAGAATCATGCATTTCAAACACGCTCTTAGTAACTAGAAATTTGAGAAGGTCCTCTACTAATGAGATCAACACCTAATAAAATGACATGCACAACATATAAAAATTATCATTGTTGAACATATAATCATATGAAAGATAATGCTACACCACTTGCATCAAAAAATATTAGAAATAGCAAAAGACAGCGACAAAAGGCTGGTGAAGAAAATAGTTATAGATTCTGATGGGTAAGAGAATACCCGTGAACCTAGTTCATAAACATAACAAGATCAGGGAAAACCCACCTTCGTGAAGCTCCCGTGAGGGGAGTTCTTCTTCTCATCTTCAGAAGGATCTCTCATCCCTCCTTTCGTCTTAACCAAAACGAACATAAACCTTCAGTATGCAGTTAAGAAGAAAGATTAATAAAACCAAAAAGGGGGTGGAATAAGTCAATCACCTTCCAACATTTCTCTGACTAGATGCATTCACTAACGCTTCTCTTTCCAAATGTAATGGAAATACTTTGTTGCAATTCTTCGTCTTTGATGAGACAACAGCACGTCTGGGGCAGTAGCAAGAATAAATAAAGATTCTATTCACAGTTTATAGTAGCTATAAAAAATAAAGACAAATAATTACAGAAGCTCTACCTGCCCAGGAACATGGTCGCGACAGGACCCCCATATCCAAACATGCCAAAGAAAGGCTGTGATCCCAAAATAATCATATTAACACAAGACTTTCAGAAATACGTGAAACTTTCTCATTGCCATCCGACATAGTATTACCATGGAAGTCTTATCCAGTTTTCATTAAATCTTAGTCAATCAAAATTTACAACTTCAATTTCATTCAGCTGCAGAAATAAGTTTGCGTAATGTGAACCTAATGAAACTGAAATAAGTACTTTAAGGAAAAGAATACACATGAAAAATCCAAAGGGAGCAGGAAATGTTTCTGAATAACCTGCTAGCCACTTAAATAATACCCTTTATTCTGAAGATATTAATGCCCAGAAACATTAATTGCGTATCACTTTTACCTTCAAGTAAGGTTTTCCCCCCACAGCTTGTCCTCGTACTGACCTGTGCAGAGATGCACCCATTTTTCCCCTGGAAAAGAAAATGGACCAGAAAGACAGAAGAAATAATCAACCAACAAATAGTATGAAAGCATGGGAAACTTGTAAAAGTATAAACATATTTCTGCTGCACAGCATAATCATGATGGCATCTGTCAATGAGAATAGATAACTTCAAACTACAGAGGACCAAAAACAGAACAAATTCAAGTTAAAACTATAGGACAACATAACATCTATGTCATGCTTGAATTCACTGATCAAGATCTAATTATACAATTGACAAATTTTCCTACATTCCATCAAACAGATGGGTAAATCCGGTATGAAAGAAGAACACTAGGAATAATAACAAAGAAGTACTACAAACACTTCTGAACTAGCGATGGATTTATTGATTGCTGGTTTAGCGTTAACAAATATGGGAACTTATCTCAACTCCTAAAGTTAGCTACACAAGGCTATAAAGAGAAGAAAAATTATTATCAATCTATTGTCTAGAAAAGGTGACAATGTAAAGTATCTTACCACTTAACTAGATTCCCATCAGTGCCATCCATTCCTGGTCCGGAATCAAAAATGGAAATTTTTTCTGTATGCCATTCCACACTGCAAATACACAAATTAGTGATCACCTAAAAATATGACCACTTAATACATAAGGCATATGGTTCTTATGACTAGATAAGGACTTCAGCAATTTCTCCCTGAACAACATTGCAGCAGGACCACACATAATCAGGGTCTAAAAAGCTCCATATGCTGGAAAAAACTGCTTAGTCAATTCACTTTATAGTTCATATCAATACTCTCTTTAAAGAGGGATAAGTAAATAGGATACAGTAAAACTTGAAAGAATCAATTGCCCTGCAGGTAGAATTCTTGAGGCTTTCAACCCATATGGAAAGAAGAATGGATTTTTATTATATTGCATTCCAATAAAACTTTTCTGGTGTATATCCTTCAAATTGACATATTTTCATGATTTTACTACACAAATTTTCAAGATCCAAAAAGGCAAGTCCATAATGGCTTGTCACATTTAATAGTTTGTTCCCTAGAGCATCTCATCTGCTGATATTATTAGATATGCAGGACAAGGACTTAAAATGCACAGTCTTACCTTATAAATTTATCATCTCCTCTCCCATTAGACCACAAAGCTTGCAAGGAATTATCCTGATAAAAAACATAAATGGATTTAGTGCCCCATTGTTAATATCAAACATAGAAAACAAAAAATTCACATGCTCACGATCAAGTCTGCAAGCGCAGTTTCAAATGTATAGTCATCAGGTAGCTCCTTCAATAAATCGGTATCTGGAGTAAGATCCGACATGCCCTGTATAACAAAAACAGGAAAAAAATCAATAACAGCACCGCCCCTTATGTCCTTAAGAGCGCCTCGATAGTCCCTACATCATAGGACAACAAATGTCCTAGACCAAATTGCGAACGTACCTCATATGCATCCGGTTTCGCTGACCCATCCTACAGGAAAGAATGAAGATGATATAAACTCATTGAAAAAAAAAATATTAATCAGAAACAACAAAACTTCCAAAACAGTAACAACAATAACAGCTTACATGAAGGCATAATATATGCCACTGGTTAGGTGGCAAATTGTGGAGATCAATTTTAACACTGAGCTTCTTTGCATCCACACCCGTAATATGAAGGTCCGGGTACTTCCAGTTAATTTCTCTCTTCAGTTGTTCTGAACTTCTTTGATTTACGACATTGAAATATTTTCTCTTCACGGTATCTAGAAACTGCTTTATTGGCATTTCATTCCTCTGCTCACTAATTTTAAGCTCGAGAGTCGTGGCATTTGGCATAAGTATGCGGAACTTATAAATCTTTGTCTTATTAAACAGACCATCTTCGACTTTCACATGTCCGAATGGACTCTTTCTTGGCCTCTCTGAGCTGGAATCTTCTAGAGGCCTCTTGCTCGCTGCTTTGTGGGGTGTATTTGAATACATCTGTCACCCATCAACAAAATCGCACCAAATAAGTTTATTACTCAAATGTTTAGTGGAAAGATGAAGACCCATGCCAACAAAACTCATACCACACCTGAAGAAATTGAAAGATAATAAGAAAAAATGAATCCCCTCTCTCTCCAGATCACAATCCTCAACCAACCCATAACCCACTGAAAATAATTCCTTACAGAGCAGCTATACGACCTCCAAACCAGCAGTAACAACTTCAGACATATGATATGCGCACCTGTTTACAGTAATATCAGCACATTGGCACAAACCTCGACATACAAACGTTTGTCATCTTCGTCCTCCACAAGTTTTCCATGGTCAAATGATTGGTGCTCAACGGGGGAACTTGTTCTGGAAATCAGCTTACATTTTTACTTAGAGGAGCAGAGGGAAACCCATGAAAGCTCGAAATTTGAAGCCTTGAGCTGTCCTTCTTCTTCTTTCTTGTGCTCGGATCAGATTTGAAAGAGATGAAGATAAATACTGCGTGTGTATGTGTGAGTGAGTGAGGTGTGCGAGTGCGTGTGTGTGTGTAAAGTGGTAAAATACAGTGAGAAGTGGAAACGACAGCGGCAGAAAACAGTGGAAATTGAAGAGACGGGCCCTTTTAGAATTTTTTATTTATATAAAAATAAAAAAAAAAATTAGTGAAAAAAAATCAAAACCACTGAATACGTTTTTCAATATAAAACGTATTCAAAGAATACGTTTTTAAAAAAAAAACGTATTACGTAAATATATTTTACTAAAAACAATTAATTAATGTAAATATCATAATTAAGCTAATTAAAATAGGGTAAAACGTATTAACGAAATACGTTTTACGTTGAAAAAAACAAAAAACGTATTTATGAAATACGTTTAGTATATAAAATTAATATTTTCAATTTTAAAAAACAAATTTTTTAGAAAATAATATTTCAAAAAATAAAACGTATTTTCAAAATACGTTTTTAAACCTAATTTTTGCCCCAAATTGATTTTGCCCTAATTTTAGCCCCAAATCGATTTTGCCCTAAATTTTACACAGTAAAACGTATTCTCGAAATACGTTTTTTTTTTTAAAAAAAACGTATTTCGAGAATACGTTTTACTGTACAGAAACAGTAAATATACGTTTAAAATTACAAAAACACACCTGTTAATCGAGATCGATCTCACAACCAAATATTAATTCCACAAAACCCATATCACAACACAAAATTTTTATGTCTATAAAAATCCAAACAAGTCCAAATATCATTACACATAATCCACCACGAAAGAAAAAAATAAATATATATGTCTACAAAATTTCCCCGAATACAACACAACTAACTAGGAGTGTATCGATTCGTAGGGATGCGCGGTCGGTTGCTAATCCGACGCCGTGGTGGTTGTGAAGAAGACGATGTTGTGGGCGTGGTAGGTTCTTCTTCTTCTTCTTCTTCAGCTGAGTAATTCAGTTTTTTAAGAAATCAGAAATTAGACTTAACAAAAATCACAAAACATAAATAAAATTATATTTTTGTTAAGTAAAAGATGTTTACCTTCTTCTTGTTCTTCCTCAAGCCCGGTGTCGGCAACTGGTTCGCGGTGACGTCGTCTTCTACCTCCACGAATATGGGGAGGAGGTTGATGCCTCGCTCGGTGTGACTGCGTCCTCTGGGGTTGGACGTAGCTCTCTTGTGATAAAATTTGGCTCGACAACATCCCTTGACCGATCTCTCCGCCTCCGACAGTCAGAGAAGTGAAAAGAAGGCTCTTGGCATATTGGATTGCCGCCTGCATCTCCGGATGGGCTGTATGATATAGATGCTCAACATTGGATAACACATTATAAGCCCCCTCCATGCCGCTAGCCTGAAAATTAAATTCAAAGTAATTTTTATGAAATGCAAAAAATAAAATAATAATAGAAAAAAAAAAAACACACAAATTATAAACACTTACATCGCACTTCCAATGCTCGGCAAGTGGCTGATAGCCTCCGTCCTGTTGTACCACCGGGTACTTGGCAGGGTTACTGATTAGTCTCTCAGTCCTGCTGTGAAACCAATCAAGGTAACCCTCGCCAGGCTGTATGAATGACTCTACAGGCTCATATGGGAGGACATTTTGGTGTCTTTGTTCGACCCAAATATTCCCAAACTGGGAATGAAAGTCCACCCAATCATATACGCCCCTCTCGGTCATTCCCTGGCCTCGGTGGTGTGTCTCCCAGTCGACCTCACCCGTAATGATCGGAGTGTCGGCGATGGACTGATGACACCCGAACTGACGGAGGACTCTACCCGGCTCTTGGGTTTCACGGATGTCCCAACAGAACATCCAGCCCCTATACATCCAGAGGCTTGAATGTTCTGTACACTGGGCCGGGAGAGCATTAGCATTCAGGAGCTCTTCATACGGCATCCAATCGAACTGTAAAAAACAAAAAAATAATAATAAGAATTAAGTTATTAAAAGATGAAACACATAAAACAAAAAATAAATAACAATCAATAATACTTAATAATAATCTTACATCCGTCTCTCTTAACCCTGTCAGTTGATCCCGGACAGCGGCTGTTCCCGTGACTATGTGTTTCGTGTCCTTCCGTCCCACCCACCTTAAAAATCACAGAAAAAAAAAAAACATCAGAAATTGTAATTAGAAAATTTGATAATTGAAATAATCAAACTTTAAAATATATAAATAAATATCATTACCTTCCACCTCAAGGACAACCAATGACTGTTTGAAATTTTGTATCCCTCATTCTCGGGCCAAGCCGAGGGATACGTTCCCATGCCCAAACCTAAAGATATCGCCATATTCATTTGTTATTAAATATTAGTCTAAATTAGAAAAAAAATGAATTTTGAAATAACAAGTAATTAAATGTACCTGAATCAATTGGACACAGCTCTTGATCCAGCCTTCCCCGGTCTGGTAGCTCGTGCACAGCGCTCTATACACTGCGGCCAGGAGCGCCGACCCCCAGCTGTACTCCTTGATCTTATCGATGTCGCGCAAGAGCTGGGTCCAGTACAGGTTGACTCCACAGGCCCTCTGATCGGGAAAGAAGAACGATCCAAGGCACCAGAGGATAAGTGCCCTCGCCCTGTCTTCGTAGGTCGAGAGTGCTTCTCCATCTTGCAGCACTCTGTTGCATTCGTTTTCCAACCTCGAGTGCTTCAGATACTGGCCTACAATGCCCCAAGTTTTGGGGTTGGCTGTCGGGTCGTCTGCTTCCTTAGAGTGATTTGTATACATTAAAAACCAAACAATGGATTATACATAAACAAACAAAAAATAAATAAAAAAAATTGTGTTAAAAAATTTACCTGGGGGTCGAACCCTAGAAGGTCCACACACACATCTCACCATTGCTGGTTTGTAAAATCTACAGTCTCTCCCCAACAAGGTGTTCCATCTACCGGGAGACCAAACAGGACTTGCACGTCCTGGAGCGTGATTGTGGCCTCCCCGAAATCAAAATGGAAGGTGTGCGTCTCCGGTCGCTACCTTTCCACCAGACAGGTAATTAGGCTGTTGTCGGTCTGGACTCTGCCCATCCGAAACAACGGCCCAAAACCCGTCCTATCGATCACCTGTAAAACCGCCGAATGTTGTCTGTCCAACACCTTCCAAAATTCAGTGTCGTTACGGCGGTTTTTAATGGTGCCGTTACGACATCCTTGTAAATCTTCATATACCGCTCTCGACCGGTGGCGGTTCTGAAGGTATAAAAGGGAGCGATCAATCGGACCGGGGTGTACATTCAACCGTTGAGGTTGTGACGAGGACGATGATGCCATTTTCTACAAATAAATTATATAAACAATAAATTCACAAATTCACAAATAAATTATATACACAATAAATTCACCAAATCACGAGAAAATTCACAAATCACGAATAGATTCACAAATTAAACGTATAAATTCACAAATTCAACATATCTTAAATAATTCGAAGCTCTAATTCACAAATAAATTCACAAATCACGAATAAATTCACAAATTCACAAATAAATTATATACAAGAATAAATTCACAAATAAATTATATAAACAATAAAAATTCACAAATTCACAAATAAATTATATACACAATAAATTCACCAAATCACATATAAATTCACAAATCACGAATAAATTCAAAAATTCAACATATCTCAAATAATTCGAAGTCCTAATTCACAAATAAATTCACAAATTCAACATATCTCAAATAATTCGAAACCCTAATTCGCAAATAAATTCACAAATCACGAATAAATTCACAAATTCCACATATCTTAAATAATTCGAAGCTCTAATTCACAAATAAATTCACAATTCACGAATAAATTCACAAATTCAAAACCCTAAATTTAGCCCTAATTTGATGTTATGAAAAAAATTGACAAAATTAAAGGCATAATAGATAGAATGTACCTTATATAAGGGAAGTAGGCGAGGTGGTGGTGCAGCGGCAAGCGGCGGCGACGGCAACGGCGACGGCGGGTAAGTTTTTTTTTTTTTTTCTTTTGGCTCTGCAATTTCGTTTTGGTTCGCGTAAGGAAAAGAAGAGAAAGACTTTTTTTTTATATTTAAACGGAAAACGTATTCCGAGAATACGTTTTACATGTAAAAAAAATGGTAATAAGGATCCCAGATTCGAAACTCGAACCCGGGTTCGGGTGAGTCCGTTATCTCTGGGGGCACCTCGTTACCATTAGGCCGCGCTAGGCTATCGCTGATATTTTTACCAACTTTTGTTCTTATCCTTCATTATCAAGATTTTGTATATTATATAGTATTTTTAATACATAGTATATACATATATGTTATAATTTATATAAATATAAATATATGTATAATATATAGTATAGTATATAACATATATGTATAATAGTATACTATATACTACATACTACATGCTATATTACTATATTACTATATACTATATACTATAACATATTACTATATACTATAAACTATAACATATTACTATAACATATTATGTATAATTGTACTAATTCGAGTTCAATTATACTAATTTGATTTCGATTTCACTATAATTGACTTTAATTGAACTAATCGAGTTCAATTGTACTAATTCAAGTTCAATTGTACTAATTTGATTTCGATTTCAATATAATTGACTTTAATTGTACTAATTCGAGTTTAATTGTACTAATTTGAGTTCAATTGTACTAATTTGATTTCGATTTCGCTATAATTGACTTTAATTGTACTAATTCGAGTTCAATTGTACTAATTCGAGTTTAATTGTACTAACTCGAGTTCAATTGCACTAATTCGAGTTCAATTGTACTAATTCGAGTTCAATTGTACTAATTTCATTTCGATTTCAATATAATTGACTTTAATTGTACTAA